TACAACATGAGCTAGTAACTCCAAACAATGTCTTTCATTATGCTGTCTATTAAAAACATTTTAAAATAATTGATTATTATTATTATTATTTTTGTATTCTAGCCTGACAATGCTTAATTTCCGAAAAGGACGTAAATTGAAAATCCTTTCATTTAATGTACTGACCGTGCATGGGGTCTGAGCTAATTTATAAGATAAATTAAACCTATATTTACCAGCTATATAGGGGACTTATTTGAAATTTTATGGAGGAGGGAATCTTCCTATATTATTTACTTGCTGACTCGCCTGTAAATGTTTTATTTGAAACCAAATTGAATTATCTAGCTGGTATGGATGCTTTGTGAACCAACGGTGGTGGATATCCTGATTACCCGGCTGATTTGGGGCACACCTGTAGCAGCACTGCAGCAGTTTAGCTAGCAAACATATGGATCTTATACCGGCTGATCGTATAAAAGTTGTTAGTAAAGTCAACATGTATCTGGAATAACAATAGTGGACGGGCTGGTTTAGGACATTATCCACCGGTGGTGCGGATCTTATGCAATTCGTTAGATAAAACCGCTCGCTGGGTCAATATTTGTTAAACAGTTCAAACCTGTGTCACTAACATTAAATTCATGGCATCCGGCACAATTCTGCTAGGTTATAGCTACGCTTCCTCTACACTCGGGCTGCTAGGATGTAGCAAATTTGCACATTGGCAAATTCATCAAAAGGCATCTGCAACTTAAACATGAAAATTATATGAATACTTTTTAAGTCTAAGGTGTCATTTAAAGAAAGGACGCCAAAAACCAACAACTGAGTTGTAAACAAAGTGATACATAATGTACATTATCATGCTCATAGAAAAACTAAATGGAACAACATTGAACAGAAAGAGTAAACTTCCTCCTGTACACTAACCTTGATAGCAATATTACAATCATACTGATAATAATCGATTAATTCTCTGCTGAGAGGATTCGCTTTGACGAAATTTTACATGTTCCTGGATTCTACCAATTTTATCAAACGAAAAATTGTCGATAAATCAGAATTAATCTATTAACTCCAGTACAAAAGAATAAAATGCCACTTGTTTTGGAGATACCACTATTTGTAACACGTGCTTTTTAGCAACTAGGGAACTATTGTGATACTCTTACTTGAAATTGACTGCATTGAACATGAAATGAAGTTGCCACTATGTTTAGATGTAATAGGGCATCTATACTTTAAAACAAAACAGTGAAAATATGGATAACTTCGACCCATATACATACATATAAACTCCGCACAAAACATGAACATCAAGCGTACGGGTAACTCTAAACTAAATGAAATACTGCTACATTAGACGCAAATGTCATAATGTGCAAACAAATTGATAACTACCTCTTATTGGTATATATGTAAAATCTACCAGTATACTAGGAACAAACTCCTTTAATATAGGTATGCCAATGCACGACGAATTAAAACCATTGATCTTGGTAAATTTCATTTCTTCGATCACAATTAACTTAAAAAATCTCCAAATCAAAAAATTTAACACGACATAAACTGTTACTGGTACCAAGAAACCCTTAGCCTTGTACTTATCTTATACATGTGGATAGGTACAAATAAACAATGAACCCTAGACTCCCACACAATAAGAACATATATGCGGCCCACTCTGTACTATTGCTCAACACCGTGGGTAGGCACATTTAAACTTTGTACCCAAAACTCCCACACAATAAGTACATGTATGCGGCCTACTCTGTGGGTAGGCACAGATAAACTTTGTACCCAAAACTCCCACACAATAAGTACATATATGCGGCCTACTCTGTACTATTGCTAAACACCGTGGGTAGGCACAGATAAACTTTGTACCCAAAACTCCCACACAATAAGTACATGTATGCGGCCTACTCTGTACTATTGCTAAAAACCATGGGTAGGCACATATTAACTTTGTACCCAAAACTCCCACACAATAAGTACATATATGCGGCCTACTCTGTACTATTGCCAAACACATGTGGGTAGGCACAGATAAACTTGTACCCAAAACTCCCACACAATAAGTACATGTATGCGGCCTACTCTGTACTATTGCCAAACAACGTGGGTAGGTTCATATATAAATTTATACCCCCACGTCTACACGATAAGTACATTAGGCCAAAAGTATTTCGATTCAATAATAAACAAACCTGTGAACTTAACAAAAAGCTCTGTACCGTAGCTCCATATTATCAAGATTATAAATATGGAAAACTGATTCATATGGTAATTCTAAATCCGTATAACCGTGTCTAAATGAATAATTTCTACATAAGACCGAAACCTCTGTCAATAGAAGAACCGAACAAATGTACAAATTCTATAATTTCTACAGAAACACGAGCTAAGAAAAACTTGCTGTGTAATTTTTAATAATTCAAAAATATTAAATGGCTTGACTTCGAAATTCAATCCTTGCTTTTAATCAACAGAATTTGCTGACAAGCTTTATCTATATGATCTTTCCTATTCATAGACTCCTCAAAGCATACGCAACACGTTGTGCAATAAAATGATTAAGAATACTATACTGGCCTTATTATTAAGACGACTGAATTATCTGCATTCCTATACATCGAAACCACGGGTGTTCAGCACAGATGTACACCAACTGGACCTGATAGCTCAAATTCATCCTGAAACCTCTGTGGCTCCAAAAGTGAAACCCTGACAAAGACCGTCATGATCTCCAGCTGCGTATTTGTTTTCCATCAACGCCATCCTGCAGATACTGCCTATGATGAATATTATCACAACTTCTCGCCAAACAAATCCGTGTCACCATTGATATAAATGTGTTCAGTTTTAGTCGTTTAGTTTAACAAACAACAAAAATCAGAAATCACGCGCATTATATGGGTATATGGGAATCTCTGTCCTTTAATTAACGAAAGAATGCCAGTTCAAAACACAACACAAAGTTAATCAAGTACAATCATCAGAAAAATATACTCCACATGACTCCACATGGGCATTGCAAATCTGCACATGTGAATAACCCGCGCACGTCTATCACATATTGTGGGCAACATCCTCGGTTAAGTAAACAAAAGATAATCTCAAACAGCACAAATCTTGCAAATTGTGACAATAATCAACAAAATGATGGAATAAGAAAGCACTTCTCTTGGCTGACTATAACGATCATAAAAGATTGTAATTTCTTCAAAATAGACGTGCTTCATGTTAGCGGTGGTGAGCGCGCGAGTGTGAATGACTCGCTGAGCTAACCACGTGACCTTACACATTCTATTACAATTATTCCCTCAGGCAAGGCGTGGATCTGAGAATTTTCACAATTTACCAACGTAAATGTTTCCGGAAACCTCCAAACAAATTATCGCATTAAATACATGAATACAATTATTATTCTAATAATTGTTGTTATTGTATATTATATTAAGGAAAGTTTCGGATGAAAACAAAACTAATCATCACGCTAGCATTACGTTTTGTTGTTAACTTGTTAGCATTACCCTAACGGTTTTCTTTAGTAATATATCTAAATATGAAACAAATGTGTCAAACTCTGTGGTATCTGTCATTTCATGTTTTCAGGAATGTATCGGGTCTACAAATGAATGAAGAAGCTTTCATTTTCAAATGATTCTACGTATACGTCGTCGATATAACTTAATATAGACTTGAAGGCAACAAGAAACGTTTTTTTTAATAGATTCTGCTTTTATATAAAAACAAAAACAAATCTGCTAATAACGGTGCGCATTTTATAATCAGTGGTCTTTCTACACTACACATGTATATCTTAATGTAGAATATTATTTACATAACCATATCATATGGAGACTTATAGTCACTGATCATTGATACATGTTTTAAGACCGAAAGGTCCGTTAAGGAATGTTACAGGTAAATATTGATCATTTTACCAGTAAGAATATGTAAGAACTAGAAAGAATTAAATTATTAGGTATAGTGACTTGACATTTTAAAGAAAGAATTCTTCAGGTTTTCAAAGTCAGACTCTTTAGCATACATGTACTATGATATGTAACAGTATTTTTACTTTCGATCAAAATAGCAGGTTGTACAATGTGTATATCAATCTTTAAATACAAAAACTAAAGAAAAGAAATTAAATTACTCTGGAATATCCATATTTTTCTTTATATTATTTATTTATTTATTTTTTTTTTTTTTTTTTTGATTTAGAAGATGAGATGATAACTCTTTGAGGAACAACAGCCTGTGGTTAAAAGACCTACTGTCTCATCACGTTCTTCACATTTAGCCATATCATAAACATATTCCCCATCTAACGCTAAAGGAAAGCATTCCTCACTTTTCGTTGAAGATTGACCATTATTGCGTTCTCCAACTTCCATTGTATGTAAACAAGGAATTCCACCGCCAATGTTTTCTCTATCGATGTTCTTCATTCGTAATGATGAGAATCTTCTGTGTTCCTGGAAGGGATTTTGTACTTCCTCAGTTCGTCGTAAATTGAAGTCAGAACTTTTCATATATGTCGACGAGGAGTCGGAATATCTCCTCGTGAGCTGTTTCCGTGCGACTGGTTCCTCATACCCGGTTACACGGAGAGTTAGTTTATTGTACACTCCGTCATCGAATTTCTCCTCCTGACTAAATGCGGGTAACTTGTTTTCCCCTTCTTCTGTTTTTATGGTACTATAATTTTCAGTTTCTGTTTTATAATATGATGAGTTCTGAAGATTGCCGCTAGAGTGATGTATTCTGTGTTTACTTATGTCATACGGAGGAATATCTTTTAAAACACAAAAAAAAAACCGAAAAACACATTAAAATTGTAAGATTGGATTATTAGCTCTATAGTTTGAAAAATACAAATATTTCAAATTAAAATCCTCGTAAAAATGGCTGAAAGTTATCAGGAATTTTACCAACAAAGTTCTTTGTAGATGTTTTTCTCCGCCTAAACCTGTATTCCAAAATTGAGTGATATTAAGTCATAATAGGAATAGAGATACGTATACATGTATCTAATAAATGTCTTCAATATAATCAATTCATTCATTCATTTGACCGATGCCTTTGATACTCGTACAAATGTTTTTGCCCGAATCTTTGTTACATGTATGCATCTCTGCAACAACTCTTATCAGGTATAATTAGCATTGCAAATAGAATAAATATAAATAATAAATTAAAATGCAATATACATATTAACAATTCAGTAATTATCATTTCACAAAAGAAAATGCATTTACTATTGTTTAATATATTTCTCCACAAAGAATATCATCAGGCAGAATATGATTGCTGAAATAACTGGAGTGAGGGTGTAAATCAAAATTTCAAATTGATATCTTTTATACGGTTCCGATGATTCTGAAAATAAAAGAAGTCAACACAAATATTTATAAAACAAAATGCCAACAAGCATTTGAAAATTGAATTTAAACGTTGGAAGCATATGACTATTAAAATGTTTATATTTAAACAGGAACGAGGGTAATCCCAAAAGTAGGCGATGGCATTTTTGTTTAAATGAATGGTTCAAGATATACTTATTGCATACCTAAAATAGTAATTATTGCATGTGACATGTTCTTGTTTTATTATGTTATTATATAACAGTGTCTGTATTGTACATAGCTTTATACTAAGCAGCTATTCGGTTCTTTTTATTGAACTAATTTTACCCCTTTTCCTACATCTAAATATGGGTTCAACCAATCAGCAAAGCTCTTATCCATCACGTGATCATTATTGACCCGTTTACCAAAAGAGAAAGCATGCTTTATTGAACTGCTGAATTTTTCGAATTTATACCATATTTCCCACAGAAAATCCTACAGCTTTTGTTGTGATACCATTTTGAAGATTTCGGATGATGTGATCTGCTTGTTATTTACAGAAAAACGTCTGTAAAGTGAGTTTTTGTTACGAAATCGGCCTTGTAAAGTTTACATCCGGGCATTAAGCATGCTGAGGAGTTCACAACTCAGGACGACCAAAATAATTTACATGTGATTTTACATGGATATTCTATTACTACGAGTCGTCTGGGGAATAATATGGTAAATTGAAGTAAATTTGGTTAACGATCGATAAACAGTGTCAGTGTATATACAGTGGTGTAAAATATGTAGTAAATAGTGTCGGGCTCGAGATCCCGAAAACTCTTACATGTAATATGTCAGCTGTAAACATAGGGACCTTTCGCTGAAGTTCTTTGCTGTAAACAATAATATTCAACCTGACTGTGTATAGACTTGTTCCTGGGAGGTTTTTGCAACTGGCCGTCAGTGATTCACCTACATCGTTAATCCTAACACCATGATCAAGCCTGGAGATTTTATCAATCACACCGGAAACTTCATTCCTTTAGGAACTTTTGCCTATTTACGGTGATTTGCAATTTGCTGAGCTTTGAAAATGTGCATCTATGTGATAACATCATTTTTCCTAACTGTCCATCCAAAATATCACAAGACAGTTTTGCTTCTTACATTCACCTTGGCCGGGGAATAAGAACCTGTTTGTTACAGTGGAAACCTTTCGCTTCTTCAAGGAATTGAATGTCAGAATCATCTACACAAACCAGATATTGATGAGCGAATATAAACAGCTCAGCAGTGACGAGTGTTACCTTTTTACAAGTTATGAGATATCCATTAATGCTGATGTAGTATTCACTTGACACTCCTGCATTCCCAGTATAAAACAGGCCAGTATAGTATAGTACTTCTGATGAAGTAATGTGTTATCCATTAAAATTAAGTTAGCTAGCTCATAATTAAAGGCTCAAGTTTTTTGGTTCCTTAAATAATTTTGCAATATTTTTACCAATAGAGGTATCATACTTGGTAACAAATCCTGCTTTTCCTTTTAAGAGTTTGAACAATGAAGGATCTTACTCAAGTTTACTTATATGTTGTTCACGGAGCCAAAAATTTTGTTTGGAGCTAGTTTGCCTATGTGATGTTGGTAAAATATTGCCATTATATGGGTACACAAATCTTATTATGTATGATTCCAATTTTCAATTGTTGAATCAAGACATAGTGTACGTGGGACCACATACACATTTATCACATAAACATTGCAGGTCATAGGCACAGCTTGTATATATGTAGAATCATTAACATAATCTAATGCTGATATAGTATTATTGCTAAGGGTGCACACCATAGTTTGAGGTGACCTTTTACTGAGAATTAGTGTAGAAGTGAGGTCCACATACACTACTTATGTTTACCATGCAAACCCACCACTGATTTACACGTTATGTTGTATTTTATGATTGTGAAGGACCATATTCACATTTATTTCACTGACACATACACATTTATTTGGTTGACTCTTGTAGGAACATATACGCATATTTTGTGGACATGTGCAGAACGATATGCATGTGTATTTTGTTGACTTGTACAAGACAATGTGCACATGTATTACCTTTTGACTCATGAAAGATTATATGCACATGCATTTTGTTGATCTGTGCAGAATTATATTCTAATCACATGTATTTTGTCGACTCATGCAGAACCATACATAATTATGCCAAATTCACAAACATTTTGTTTTGTTGACTTGTACACAACCATATGCACATGAATTTTGTTGACTTAATCACTTGTGCAGGACCATATGCACATGTATTTTGTTTTTGCTGTCTTGTGCAGGACAATATATGCACATGTATGCAAGTTGTTGACTCATTCAGGTCCCTATACACACATATTTTTGTGACTTGTGTAAGACCATATACACATGAATTTTGTTGAACTGTGCAGGGCAAAAATGTGCAGGACCAGATGCACTTGTGTTTGTTGACTTGTGTAGGACCATATACACATGTATTTTATTGGATTGTGCAGGACCATATGCACAGTAATGCACTTGTGTTTGTTGATTTGTGTAGGACCATATACACATGTATTTTATTGGATTGTGCAGGACCATATGCACAATAATGCACTTGTGTTTGTTGATTTGTGCAAGACCTGCATGGTAGTACATAATGACATAATTACATTTTTGTTGATTGTGTAGGACCATATACAAATGTGATCTGTTTTGCTGACGTGCAGGACCATATGCACTCATGTTTTCTTGATTTGTGCAGGACCATATGCACATGCGATGTATTTATAAGTCTTGCAGGACCTGCATGGACCTGCATAATGACATACATTTCTGTTGACTTGTGTAGGACCATATACACATGTAATTTGTTGACTTGTGCTGGTCTATAGACAAATGTTTTTGGTTGTCTCAGGCATGACTATATGCACTTTTTCTGAGTGAATCCAGAACCAAAGGTATCTAAAATAAAGTGTGCAGAAGTGTGTTTTGAATAACATGCATATTTGGCATTATCATGTTCTCCAGAATCAATCACATGCACAAGTTTATAATTTATAAGTTAGCAATTTATTTGCAATACATATTTAAATATATATTTAAAATGTATAATAATGCATGTGTGCTCTCTTTCTTGGAAATATAATGTTATAATGAGAATAATTTATGCTGCATATATTGTAGTCATATTCTCATGTTGGAATTTACATAACCTGTTATTCCCTTTTGATGTATTGCAGTTGTGCAATACCCAAAGTAAAATAATTATGTCAGTCTCTAAGAATTTATCTTGCATGTTCTGATTGTTCAGTTGTATAGAACATGGCTTAAAATATTGATTTAGATCAGAGCACTTTATTTAAAAAAAAATGAATATCATATACTGGATAGTAGTTTACACTTTTATTTTTCCAGAGTTACCCATCCCACCAAATTAGAAACAGACACTATCCACACTGGGTAACACTTGCAGAAGCTATATAGGCCATGTGGAAACAACAGTCAGGAATCAGATATGCATGCACAGACAACACAACAGTGGACAAACAAGTGCCCATTACCAAGGACATTGCCTCAACATAGCAAAGTATTCTGGCAACAGCCACTTTAAGTTTGGGTGGTGTATTGGTTCATGTTTCTGGGGACTGCTCTATCAACAAGTCCATTGAGTAAGATAATATCATGATCAAATGGTTTTTCACTTAATTCAATAGTTTCTGTAAAAAATATATATCCTAATTTTGAAATAATGATTTTTATACACTTCATGTCCTTTTTCAGTACATGAAACAAACTTTTGTCAATTCTTCTGAAACAGGGGTTATAAATATGCAGCAGGGCCCAAAATTTTAAATTCCAATCACTTTAACTCAATTGACCGATGCATTTTAAATATTGTGGTAAAAACTAAAAAAAAAAAAAACTTTAATCTAAAAACTAACCTCATTCAGGATAAAGGGACTCATTTGAATATATGAAAGCTTTGATCAAGATCTAGTAAACTGAAAGTCATGTCAGAGGCATCTTTACAAGTTTTATGTCAGATGGTACTAAACTACCTAAAATATAACTTTCTAGAAATCAAAGAAGACTTAGGGTGATCCTAGGATCATTAATATATATAATTTTTTAGATGGAAAAAGAAAATGGTAAAATTACAGGCCCTTTAAAAGATACACATTTTGTTGAAATCATATCTCCTATAATAGTTGTTCTACAATATATGAAACAAAGGGTGAACACAGTTCATGAATCATCTCTATAATCAATCTCTGTAGAGCTCAGTAGTCGTCGAGCGGGACCATGCCTTTGACAAATGCAAATTACTGTAGCATAATGGTATCCAAATGAGGATTTACTGTCATGCAGGATAAAATACATGCTTATTAATCCCGCAATTTCTATTGATGATGCATTTAAGCTTACGCATACGATTGTTGTATGCAATGTTGTTTCACTAAACATGGGGCCATACATGTTAAGAAAGTTGCATCACTTGGTATATGGAATATCTCAGTTAACACTGGACCGTATGTATTAAGTAGTTGCGTCATGTTGTATATGGAATATTTCTCACACGGGACCATACATGTTTAGAAAGTACATGTTTTGTACATGAAATGTTTTACTAAACACAGGACCATATACATGTTTAGTAGGTTACATCATGTTGTAATAGATATTGGCTAAACACAGGACCATATGTGTTTGAATAGTTAGATCATCTTGTATATGAAATGTTTCACTAAACACGGGACCATACGGGTTTAGAAAGTACATTTTGCATGGAATGTTTCACTAAACACGGGACCATACGTGTTTAGTGGGTCACATGTTGTAAATGGGAGATTGTCTAAACACGGGACCATACGTGTTAAGGAATTTATACCACTTTGTGTATGTTATATGTCACTGAGCACTGGGCCATACGTGTTGAGGCAGTTTCATTACTTTAAATATACACAATATTTATTAATTTATTTGAAATGTCTCTTGCTGACATCAGTTACCAATAGTATGTCAGATAAGCGTTATACCATATGTATGACATTATCTAAATTGTCAGATTCCGATTATTAGCTACATTACAGCTTTTCCTTTCTTTCAAGCAGATCTATTTCATTTTGCATGTTTTAGAGAAAACTAGCAATGTCTCTCTATATTAGAAATAAGTAATTGTAATTCAAAGTTTGGTGTTCATTCTATCCAGGAAATAACATATTACCAGGTGTCTGAAAAGTGTTTACAAAACCTTTAACCATAAGAAAAGACCAGCTGGGATAGGATACAATATTCATAAATTTAAATTATGCAATAGGCTGAAAACACCTTGTGTAGCATGGACCAAGCCAGAAGTTGTCTGTTGGTTCCTTATACATATCCTCACAAATTCAAACCCTCTGTTTGGTAATCTGTTTTTCCTCTCGAGTGGTCAGAAGTTGTCTGCAGTTAAGAGGAACATTTTATGCAACATGATGTAAGTTTGACATCTCGGTTGACTGGTCAGAAGTTGTCTGCAGTCATGAGAGACATTTTATGCAGCATGGTGTATGTTTGACACCTTTGTTGACTGCTTCAGAAGTTAACTGTCTGCAGTCACGAGGCATATTTTTATGCAGCATGGTGTATGTTTAGCAACTTTGTTGACTGAACAAAAGTTGCCTGCAGTTAAGAGGCACTTTAATGCTGCATGGTGTTTGTTTGATACCTTTGTTGACTGGTCAGAAGTTGTCTGCAGTCAAGAGGCACATTTTGATGCAGAATGGTGTAAGTTAAAGAACTTTGTTGACTGCAGCATGGTGTATGTTTGACACCTTTGTTGACTGGTCAGAAGTTGTCTGCAGTCAAGAGGCACATTTTGATGCAGAATGTTGTAAGTTTAACAACTTTGTTGACTGGTCAGAAGTTGTCTGCAGTTGACAAGGTCAGTGTTCATGATTATAAATTCCCATTTTGCTGTATGGTTAATATTTACTACAGACAGGTGTTTTGTATACTTTTTAAAATTATTTCATGGTTTGTCCTTAGTAATTTTTTCACTCAGTCCTATTGGATATTTCTTTTTCTTGTTCACAATAACTATTTTATTGTCTTTTGAACTGAGTATATGTCTTTTTTTTTAAGGTGTTTAAATGCTTATGTATTAATCATCCTGTTAAAGAATTTTGCGTCTCCTGCCAAGACGCCTTTGGGTGGGTAGATCCAATCTCTGATTAGATTGTGACTGTTTGTTATTTTGTTTTCCCACCTTTTTTGATGACAGGCAGCAGTTTATAGCATTTTGTATATGTCTTCTAAACTTATGATGTTTATAAGGGGGTCAACTTAATATGCATGTATATTGTACCTTGTGAAAGATTACAGGGTTTGAATTATTATTCTAGTCTGGTTGACCCCCCTTTTGCTTATGTACATCATGTTACAATGTCATTATGGTGCTGGGGGTCAGATTGTGTAATATTTTGACTAAGATGTGTAATACTCTATATTTGAGTCCTCCTTTTTCTGACCCCCATTTTGTTAACTGTGTTTTACTTTTCCGTCATTTACTTTAATAAATGACATATTTCACTTCAGCATGATGTTATTTGTTTTTGCCTGTTTATCAAAAAACAAGCTCAGTCGTTTGGCAGGAGAACTAAGGAACATAAATTTTAGTAATGAAAATCCACATTTCAGAAAAATGCGGGTTTTATTATTTTTTTTTATTCAAGGTCGCCGATAGTGCGCACGGACCAGGTTTAAAATGCTACAGTCTTTGAAATAGAGTGTTCTGATTAAAATGATCATTTTCTTTATAAAAACGAATGAAGCTTGAAGAATATCATACTTATTGCAAATAATTCTGATAGAATTAATATCGATACTAAATAGGCAGTGAGATTCTACAGCAAAAACCACAAAAACTATTTTACAAAAATGGACAGGAAAAGCTTCGTCGGCTATCCACACGGATCATCGTCCAATCATACAATTATGATTTAAGAAATGAATGTAATATTTTTTCCTTTGATGGATGTATCAAAGAAAAGTTTGGACGGAAAACTTCATCAATGCGCGTAGCGCATTGATGAAAAAGTTTTCCGTTCAAATTTTTTTTTGATACATCGATCAAAGAAAAAAAATATTACAATCATTTCTTATCATTTAATTATGATTTTAAATTAATAAAATGAAACTTTCTTTCACTTTTCTATTAAATTGACGCATCAAAAACAGTGCGCACGAATTCATCATAAGAACGTTAACGTTGCTGAAATTCAAAAGGGTTCAAACGAAGAAACGTTCTCAAATATTGTCGTGTCATTACCAACATTCTCTGAAATAATTTATATCTAAAACACCAAAAAACCTACCTGTTGTGTTATCCCAATGGGTATATTTTCCCCGGTAAGTTATCTAAGTTCGTAAATGTCAGGGGAAGCTATTCAAATATCCTAACACTTCTTACGTTAGGTCACAGAAATTTTGGATTTCATTTGCACATCTTTTCATCTGAATTTCAAACCGAACATATAAATAAGTATCATAACCTGTCAATGCTGTAAAGCCTGAAAGAGTCTGCTTCCGACTGTTTAAGATAAAAAAAAAAAGAATTCCGTCTCGTTCAGGCAGTGTCGTTTTTCTCGATCATTGGCTTCCCAAGATTGAACAGATTTGGCCCTAACGGTTTTACCCGCTTTTAGCATAAAAAAAAACATTTCTTCAGAATTCTGTTGTTCATACCAGATATCTCAAAGCCGAACATTTAACAAAAGTATGTCGATTTCTTTTCTTCTTTCCCAAAACTGTATTGTTGTTATGCAGACGATTTGATTCGTTTAGCAAAGGGGGATAATTCAAAACGAAACGAAAGTAGAAAATAAGTCAGGAACGTAACGGACAGGTTTCGGAATTCAGGAAAATATTTATTAAAGTAAAAGTATTTAATTATTCCTTCAATAAATAACCTGGAAGCGGGAAATATACATGTAAAGACAGCCAATTAAAGTAGTTCCGGCTGCTTAGTGCAAACGAACTCTAGATTTTATTGATGCAGTTATCAAAAGAATTTTTTAACCAATCAGAATCAAGTATTTTATAGAAATTAAATGATTTACATGTACATGTAGTATGGTTAAACGACGTCAGACACAAAATATTAATTCAAACAAATTGAAATTATTGAAATACATTTACTTTATTTATTTCTAATTATGTAAAATAATTTTCAGCCGGGTGTAAATTTCATAGACACTAAAGGAAGTTGAAAACCATTGTAATTTGATGGGAATAGAATATCCCAATTCAGGGCATTGTTATAAACCTTTGAGTTTAAAAAATTAAATCAGTAATGGTCTAAACATACACTTAGCGGAGAGGCATAATACACTGTAATAATGATGACCGAGTAATGTATCCAAGAACAAGTGATAAACATTCAAAATCCATATTTTTGACGCTTTACATGAAATACATGTAAGCATTTCATCAGACAGGGAAGTGTGGCTTGCATATACAAAATATTTACACTTAGAATATTCATAAAGTATTTTTATTTTTGTACATTTACTAACCCATAGTCTGTAGTAAGATATTAGCATGCATGTTTGCCTTTGCAGACTGTGAGGTCAGATGCCCAGGAAAACTGAGTAGCCTCTAATTCAACTTTTTTTTTAAACTAAGGTTATAAAAAATGAAATGTGACGTTTCAAAAGAGTTTTTTTATTATCATTTATGCGGCCTCACGTCATACTACAAAAGAGCAAGATTGTAGGTTTCTTAAAAATTATTTTGGTTTTATAGGTTAACATTTTAACAATATTTGGTTCTAAAATACTACGTGAAGGCTCGGGCTCTCGTAAAGTTACATGCTTTACACATTTATTAAGAAAGATTTTTTTCTTTAGAAAATGTCATCTGACAATTACATCTTACCAAATGAAACTTTCTTTACAACATTAATTGAAAAAATAACATTTTTTAGCTCAAGTCTACTCTTATTCTCTCTAAAAATGTAGCAAACAAAATACATGTACGGCAAGGTCTACATGTATGTATTCCGATGGGATAAAAGATAGCTTCGATACATGTAAGGTTAGAAAAAGAGATAAAGGTTGTGTCAACACAACTGCACAAATTCCATTTATTACAATTAGGAACAGTATTCAAAATCAAAAGTCCATAAACTGTACAAAATATGAACAGAGTTAACACGGACCTCCAAATCATCAGAGTTGGGATCAGGTGCCATGAAGGAGTGTTTTTTTTTATAATTTAGCTGAGACATAAAAACCCGAGTTTCTATGTCCTGAAAAGATTTATCTTTGCTCTTCAATGGTCTTGATGTCGAGAATGGGTCTTATTACCAAGTAATCGATTTGAATGTATTTCTAAAAACACTTACCTTGATCAATACAACCGAATTGTTTGTCACGGGTAATACCTGGGCTACAATTGCATATCTCTCTGCATCGATAGCCATATGTTCCATTTGGACATAGTTCACTGCAGTTAAAGCCATAAGTACCAGGGAAACAGACTGTAAATGTTAAATGAATGATATTTAAAGAGAATCATCTTTAGTTTCTAAAATGTATACATATAAGTATCAACAATCGATAAAAAAAACGAATTAATAACTGTACAGCAAAATACAATGTTGGTTTGGAAATAAAGTACTGTTATAACTTTCTAACTAGTAAACATAATATGGTAGTAAAATGACTCACTTTTATGAAATAATTCACCTCATATAGTTATGAAAGATGTCATTATTTAAAAAAAAATGACGATTGAGGACTGAAAATGATAAATTTAAATTAAATCAATGCTTCTTTATGGATAAGACATTTGGTTTTTACAAATTAAAGGTGGGTTAATTTTATCCCAATCATGAATACATGCATCCCTTGGAATTGAATACATTACTTAACTTATGAAAGCTTTTTTAAAAAAATGGGATTAATGCGGCCAAGTTGTGGGTTGATTTGAATACAATTTGTACTGATTCTAATGTTTCTGAAGACATTGCATTGTTTTTAAACCTTATATCCATATAGGAGGGAGGACCTTTTACAGACGAAAAAATTTTGACAATTATTGTAGATACATGTACATGTATATTAAAGATATTATTGGAGATGATGGTAATTTTAATCGTTATGAATGTTTTTGCAATATTTGTCCAGAAATAAAGATAAGATAACTTTTTAAAAAATATTTTAGCTAAATCCATGCAATTTAATCTTGGATAAAGACGAGCAATTTTGATAAAATTCAAATCAGAAAATTATCTTAATGTGTCTAATTGTTATCTTAACTTCAATCAAAATGCCCCAAAAAATATGACATTCTTAACAGCAATTACTAACAGCTGGTAACAAGAAGTGGATTGAAATATTCTCCTGAATTGGATAGCAAGGAATGCAAAATAATTCTTAAAAAAACATTCTACGTGTAAGTTACAAAAATGTAAATTCAAGTGGAATCTGTAAAGAAAATCTAAAAGATTAATAAATTAGCATTCTAAGTTACAAATCAAAGTACTGAAAGCCCGGTTTTAATTGCTTGAGTACAATATACGCTTTACAGTAATTATATTATATGTATATGATATATAAATTTTATATATCATATACATATAATATAATTACTGTAAAACGAGAAATTTTGGCGCATACGTATTTTAGCGCAAACGCCATTGGGAATACATTGGCGCAAATAAATTTTAGCGCTTGCTCTTGTCATTAAAATATATAAATGTGATATTATTTTTTAATCCACGCTCGTATTTGACTTCTTGGTTAGTCAAGCAGGGAAACACAATAGCACTCTCGTATATAAGTAAACAACCGTCAACTTTACCGTGATGTTGCAATCACATAGACGTGGCACAATGTTTAGATTTATTTAATTTTTTTTTAATAAAAGAAATGAAGTATTTACGCATTTTATTCATATGAAAACAATGCATGCATCGAAGGAAAGTTACTTGGATAAACGGTAATCATAATCAGGCATTGTCTGCAAGCTTAATCGCCATGCTTGTTTGCATTGTTTACCTCAAGGCGAAAGATGATTGAAACGCCTAGAAGCCAACTTTGAAGGTGCTAACGATAAGTATCGGGTAACGTATGACAATAGTTTAATCTGTTAATTAAATAAATTATGATTTGGCAGAATTTTCTCGATTGATCCTACCATGTGCAGTGCTAGTGTGTTTATAAAATCCAACGACCCTTCGACATTACGTAATTGCGCGTTCCGGTTTACATGTACTCATGTGAAAGCTTTGAACATACACAAAAAAAATAATATTTAGAATTCCGTTAGCGCACAATAAATTTTAGCGTTCAGGGGTTCTTGCCCCAAAGGCGCTAAAATTAGTAGTGCGCCAAATATTCTCGTTTTACAGTATTGGCGTACTACTAATTTTAGCGTCTTTGGCGCAAGAGCCCCTGAACGCTAAAATTTATTGTGCGGTTGTTTACGTATATACGCTAAAATTTATTGTGCGGTTGTTTACTTATACATGTGTATACGGGAGTGCTATTGTGTTTCCCTGCTTGACGCACCAAAAAGTCAAATACGAGCGTGGAGTAAAAGAATAATATCACATTTATATATTTTAATGACAAGTGCAAGCGCTAAAATTTATTTGCGCCAATGTATTCCCAATGGCGTTTGCGCTAAAATACGTATGCGCCAAAATTTCTCGTTTTACAGTATTCTCGTTTTACAGTATACATCATAAACATATTTGAAAATCTTCCTTTCTGGCCATTGAAATTTAACAGGTAATTTTTGTATGATTATGATTTACAACAAACCATCTACGAATAATTACAATTAACGGTCTAGATGCCAATATTTAGGACAGGACTTTCTTGGTCATGATAAAAAAAAATAAAAATGAAAATACATTTATACCTTTCTGAACATCAGCTCAGGTTTGGTATGCATAGTGACAAAACACTTTGAGCGGTTTTGCTAATTAAAACAGGCAATAGAGGGGGGCTTTTACACATAAACTTTTACAATAGAAAATGTAAATTGAAGGCTGACTATTTCGCAGTAAATTTGTTACTTGCTCGTGACAAATACATGTATCTAGTATATTTAAGGAGAATGAGATGAAAACACTATTTAAAATTTAATTATCTTGTTTGTACCTTTTTTTGTTGTAGCATATTAAAATTGATTAATTGATATTGTATAAATAAAATTCCAATTGTGAACGTAAGTTGGAGCCTTCCTTCACCAGTTCTCCTGCCGGATAGGATTCTTGACCTTTTCTTTTTAAAAACGATACTACATGCCTGTATTAATCAGAAAAATCTTCATTTCTGGTCCTCTAGGAAACCAGTTCTACTTCAAGGTTTGACCAAAATGGTGATGACCTGAGAAAATTATGATATATTTAGACCTTTGTGGCTCGTACATATATAGTGGACCCTTCATTTTGGTCAGAAAATTTTGTAGCAAAGACTTCAATGACAATTTCTTAAAAATTATAATGTGTTGTACTTAGATAGAGACAATGGACATTATGATAGCTTTTTCTAAATACATATTTACACAAACGATTTTTATTTGCAGCACACTTGAGAGACTGCATGTATAGATATACACTTTTTGTTGGAAAGTGTGCAAAGGCTCAAGATACTGTTAAGCGCTTTGGGAGCACATACGAGATATTTTCACAAAACGTTCACAAAAATTTGTTGAAAACAGTGTATACCTAATTTTATATAAAGTAGCTATACTGTTCATTTTATTGAACTATATATATTCTCACCCTTTTCCTATAACTAAACATGGGTTCACCCAATTAGCAAAGCTTTTATCCATCACGTGGTTATTATTGATCTGTTTACCAAAAGAGAAAGTAACGTTTATTAAACTGCTGAATTTTTCGAACCTAATAGTCACCCCGTCTGCCACCAATTATGCTTGTTATTTGTTTTAGATGGACACTTTTGATGTTATGTTTTCCCCCCTTTTTTGATGTGTTCGAATGGGTTAATGAGATTTTTAGTATCCATTCTCTAGCGCACGCTCTAACCAATCAAGAAAATTTTTTATACATTGTAATAAAAGGCAATTTCATATATTAGGTTTGTGAGAATGAGTCCGCCATTCCTTTTGTTATCCTCGCAATATTGCTGCGGACTTTCAGGTTTCCATATGATTCTTTTCAACATAAATCAGTGTTGTTTTTTATTTATGGTTTTTCCTTGGCAGCGAGGGAAGCATAGTTGTGTTCGTTATAATTTTTGTTGCTTGTTATTTTCTTTTATCCACCGTTTTTTATGGCAGGCAGCAGTTTGGAGCATTTTTTACATGTCTTTGAACCTTATGATGTTTAAAATGGGATCAACTTTAAAATCCATGTATATAGTACCTTGTGAATGATTACAGGGTTTGAATTTTATTCTAGTCTGGTTCTTTCTGTCTATGTGCATCATGGTACAATGTAACTATGGTGCTGGGGGTCAGATTGTGCATTATTTTACCTGAGATGTGTAAAACTCTATATTTGAGTCCCCTTTCTCTGACCCCATTTTGTTAACTGTGTTTTACGTCTTCCACATCGTCATTTACTTTAATAAATGACATATTTCACTTCTACATGATGTTCTTTGTTTTTGACTGCTTTTAACAAAAAACAAACTCAACCGTTTGGCAGGAAAACTAAGGGATATAAAAACATTTATTAATGTAAAACACACCTGTGCATTTTTCTTTAACGCGTTGATAGTAATTGTAACAGCATTTGAATTCTCTGAAATTAGATGGACTAAATTACAATGTGAAGTTTTTAGTCAGAAACATACATGTAAACCGTCATTGCATTATACTTCTGAATGATGTATAATTTGAATAGATAATTCAGAATTTAATACAAATGCCAACATTTAAAGATTTCTTACCCGTCAGAACCAGTGCATACTCCTCTTAGAACACCTAAGTCAAATATAGAATTTTCATAAAGAAGCTCGAACTATACTTCAAAGGTTTATAAATGAAACTTTCTATGAAAAGAATCATGATAGATTAATTTAAAAAACTCGATACAACATACATCCTTTAGTAGAATCACATGTTTCCTCAGTGGTGCATTTACATTTTCCACGACATAATTCTCCGTATGAGTTTTCGGGGCACTTTCGTGTGCAATTTTTTCCGTGTAATCCTCCTGGACAAACTGTTGAAATTACAAAGAAACTGTAATTATTGTATTGTAAATGAGTTGTGAAGTTTGATTATCATTTCTGATGTGAATACATTCTTTCCTTTATTTTGATTACCTTTACATGTTCCGTTTTCTTCATAGTACCCATCACAACAAATGCCATCTTTCCTGTGAATCAAAGTACGAGGGGCTATCAAAACGTTCGTAGACTAGCGCCATAACATTAAAACTTTAGGTAACAATGGTACATGTATGTCCACGCGGCGCAACTTCGAAAACGACGTTTTTTTTATCTACCTTAGTGCATCTAACAAAAACTATTTTGATATGAACATTTGACATCAAAAATCCCGTTAATTCAGGTATCTGTTGGGACACTGTTGTTCCATAAAATATCAAATTTTTACCTCATTCTGGAAGTTCTATAAAATTTTATCGTAAATTTTAAACGAAGCATCCAAACAAATTTTGCCTAAAATAACGTCAAAAGGGGGGTTCCTTTTCCAACATTACATAAAGTTTAGCCCCTGGAAAAACTGGTATACACCTAAGAATTTTTAAACTGCCTACGGAGAAATAATATGCATCCAGCTGACTACTTGTTTTTTAAAAAAAGAAAAGGGATGCACAGTTAATGTCGATTAATACATGTATGTCAAGGGTTGAAAAATCAACCACGTCAAATAATGACGTTGATAATGTGTTTTAGCCATATTGAATTCCAAAAACAGAATATGCTAGCACAATCAAGTAGGATACCTCCCAATGTATCAATCCATTTGCAATAATATATGCATTGAAAGCCGCTGTTAATATATAATGAGATTGTAAAGTCATATAAACAAGATGGGTTGAAGTTCCTACTCAGCTCTAGGGAATCTCATCAAAATAACTAAAGTGTACGAGGTATATTTGTAGAAGAAGTGGATGTTGAAAAATAATGACGTTGTCGGACGTCATGAAACTAAACGGCGACGGCGCCTGGTGATCATATAATGTCGTTTATATTTTATAATAATTTGGGAAATAATGCGATTTAACCACTCAAGGTTAAATCCGTTTATCAAAGTGCCATCGAGCTTTTTATTATTTCGGTATAAGGAGGTATCCTTCTGGTCCTGGCCTTGTATTAGCGCCATCCCGTTTTCAGGGTTTTCGGGGTATTAGCCAAACCCATGCACTAAAACCTGTGACGTCGAGCGCAAAAAATCAAGTTTCTTCAAAATTTCAACGAGGTAAGACGTGTTTTCAGCACTCGGGTTCTCTTTCCCACGTGCTAAGCCGCCTTTGGCGAAATTTCTTTATTGTCTTGCTAAGCATTGTAGATTGTGTTCGCTCTCTGTGAAATATTTGAACACGGTCATTGGTAGAATTTTTTCACATATTTTTCTTCAATTTATTTTGGCCTCCGTTCGCATAGCTACACGTGGCCTTAGATACATTGGCACAAATTCCTCTAATTGTTACCATAATTGACTGTTTTTTGTTTTTGTGTTTTGTTCATTTTTTTTTAGTCAGAGTTTAATATTAATTTTTATTTGTGTGTGTGTATTTCATAACGAGCACCCCAAGTCAACGACAATGCCAAAAAGAAAGCGTGATTCGACGCCATTACCAAGAAGGCGCGCCAAGCGCAACGATGGCGCCCAGACCAGTCAAGGAGATAGTCAAACTGAAACCAGTGGAAGCATGGGACAGCCGTCCTTTAGCTTATCTAATGAGCAGTTGCAGCAGGTGTCAGAAGCTGTAGCAAACATCCTAAGCAAGCAGAGTGGGACAAACCCCCCAATGCCCATAGAGCCACTGGAAACCCCTATGGCCACACGGGAACAGAGTCAAGGTACAGAACCCGTTTTGATAAATGACAATTATCTTGCATTAACGACAAGCTACGACAATGATTTAGGCCATAAAGTATCAAATAAATTAAAACTTAAAATTGTTAATGGCGGGTACATAAATTTGGGCTTGTTGGTTGAAAATTCATATGGGGCCGATCCAAACGATGAGACCAGATATTTTTCTATGAAAGAGGGAAGCCTCACCCTGGCCCCCAAATCTAAAGCAAAGGTAATCAATGACATACAAGTATGGACAGATGCCTTCCTCATTTACGCATTGATATATACCTCAGCCCATCCCGAGAGCAGAGCTCAGTTATTCAAATATATTCATACTATTAGGTCAGGGGCAAATAGAGTTAAGACTCTCGGGTGGCGTGATTACGACATCCAGTTCAGACTGAAGAAGGAGGCTAACCCATCTCTCTCATTTGCTGTTGTCGATCAGGAGCTATGGCTCTTGTATATGTACAATCCCCCTAGCACCCAGACTTCCTCACATCAGGCCCCCCTTCAAAAGTGTTATGAATTCAATTACAAGGGCATATGTAATAAACTTGTATGTCAATACAAGCACGAATGTATGATATGTTCACAAAACCATCCCTACATTAAACATAAGACATCCTCAGGCTCTAGTTTGAATTTTAGGTCAACTGGTCTGCAAGCAACATGGCGGCCTCAGCTACCCAGGAGACCCGCGGCACCAAGTTCAGCTATTAAAGCACCTTATACCCAATCAGCTAGACCTCAGTAATATTGCAGCAAGCCCGATTAACGTACCGAGATTAGGCGATTTATTAGCCAATTACCCACTTGGCTTGGTAGCCTTAGAACTTTTGCAGGGTTTTACATATGGTTTTATGTTGTGTTATGAAGGGCCTCGAGTGGCCACTGACTGTAATAATCTCAAATCCATGTCTGGGTTACAGTATGAGGCTATTCAGTTGGTCATTAATGAAATCATGTTGGGCAGAGTTGCAGGTCCATTCGATCAGCCCCCTCTACCGAACCTTAGGCTGTCTCCAGTGGGCATGGTACAAAAAAGGGGGGTTCTTACAGATTGATTCATCACTTGTCTTACCCTACAGGGTCTAGCGTCAATGATTTTATTAGTAAGGAACATTGCTCAGTTAAATACTCGTCATTTGACGATGCATTAGACATGCTTGCAAAATTAGGTTCAGGAGCACAAATTGCTAAATTAGACATAAAAAATGCATTTAGGTTATTGCCAATTCACAGAGCAGATTATGAATTATTAGGTTTTAAAATTCAGGGTATGATATTTGTAGATAAGTGCTTGCCATTTGGATGTTCTGTAAGCTGTTCCAAGTTTGAGAAGTTTTCTACCTTTTTAGAATGGGTACTTAAAAAGCAGGCCAAAAGCAACAATGTGGTTCATTATTTAGATGATTTCTTGGTAGCAGGTAGGGATGGTAGCCAAGATTGTGCTCGGCTTATGTCGGTTTTTAGTTCCATTTGTCATGAGCTGGGCATCCCCTTAGCGCACGAAAAAACTGTGGGGCCTACAAATATTTTGATTTTTTTGGGGCTAGAAATTAACACTCGAGAAATGACAATTCGCATACCATCAGACAAATTGGGACAGCTTAAGGACCAGTTAACGTATATATTATCCAAAAAGAAGGTTACATTGAAAGAGCTTCAGGCTCTTACAGGGCTACTGAATTTTTGTATAAGGGCTATCCCAGCTGGTAGGGCTTTTGTTAGAAGGCTTTATGATGCTACTTGTGGGCTGTCAGAGCCACATCACAAATGCAGGGTCAATTTAGAAATGAGGGCAGATATTAAAACTTGGCTACTGTTCTTAGAATGTTTCAACGGAGTCAATTCTTACAGAACTGTAGATTGGTCAAATGATTTTGACATGGAGTTGTTTACTGATAGTGCAGGGAACATTGAGTTAGGTTGTGGTGCTATTTTAGGTAAGCAATTGGCATTCATGCAATGGCCATCACAGTGGAAAGGGCTAGAGATCATTAAAGACATTACATTTTTAGAATTAGTACCAATAGCTATGGCTTTCGAAATCTGGGGGGAAAAATTGGCTGGCAAAAAAGTTATTCTTCACACTGACAACCAGGCTCTGGTATCAATTCTTAATTCTAAGACATCAAAATCAAAAAGGGTCATGCGTTTGCTCAGAAAGTTAGTTCTTCAGGGGTTAGTGCATAACATCCAGTTTAAGGCAACTCATATCATAGGCCTGCATAATATCAAAGCAGATTCTATCTCTCGACAGCAATGGTCACGTTTCCGAGCCAGCTTCCCAGAGGCAGAGGATCACCCAACATTAATACCCTGGTCATTTCGGCAAGTGATCTGCGACATAGAGCTCATGAGCTCTTAAGCTATTCCATCTCTGACAGTACAAAGAAGTTGTATAACACTGCATTAAATGTATTCAATGATTTTCGCAAGCAATATTTTGACACAGAAGAGTGGCCTCCCCATTACAATCAATTAGTCGATTTTGTCTCCTACCTATCGTATAAGCAGTATTCCCCAAACACGGTTAAGTCGTACATTTCTGGGATATCTTATTTTTGTAAACTTCACAACCTTTCTGATCCAACACAATCATTCTTACTCAGAAAAACCCTGGTAGGGCTGGGCAGAAAAAATGTCCAGGTTGATGAACGTAAACCGGTCACTTTAACAATTTTGTCCAGCATCCTTAAGTTACTGCCCACAATATGCAAATCTCATTATGAAACGATGCTGTTCTCAACCATATTCTCAACAGCCTTTTTTGGTTATTTCAGAATGGGGGAGCTGGTTCAAAATTCAGTGCATGACCCTGGTCATGCTATTCAAGCCGGGGATGTAACCTATCACAAACAGACCAATAAAATCCTCATTGTCCTTAAACACCCCAAAACTGATCAAGAGGGGAGGGGGGCAACAATTTCACTAACAGCCACTTTACAGGCAGTATGCCCAGTGCGCTTAGTTTTATCATTTATGCAACTAAGACCTAGCATCCCTTCAGCATTTTTTTGCCACATCTCAGGTAGTCCAGTGACAAGGTATCAGGTGTCAGCTGTTTTCAATATGGCCTTAGACAAATTGGGGTTAAGCAAGCAAACTTATAAAACTCACTCCTTCCGCATAGGCGCAGCCTCAACTGTCTGGGCTAATGGGGCCAGTGAAAAAGACATTGCTAGTAAGGGCAGATGGAAATCTCAGTGTCTGTACAAGTACATAAGGAATTAATATGTTCATAACTCGCTAATTTTTTCTGTTGTCAAATCTTTGTAGGTGTAAAGAGAATATGGATCATTGGGTCCTCCATTGTTAAACATGCATTTTATTATGCCAGAAAATCAGTATTTGGCACCAACTTAGAATTAGACCGGCACAATGCTACCATATCCTGGCAAGGCATAGGGGGTATGAAGGTGGAGGACATCTTACCCAAAATTAGAACTTTACTCAAGGTAGAAAATGCTCCTCACATGTTAGTTATTCATTGCGGGGGAAATAACATTCCATGGTATAGTGGGGGTAAGTCAGCTGATCTACGTTTCAGATTAAAAGAAATATTACAAAAATTAGAAAAATTGCTACCATCAACTTTGCTTATATGGTCACAAATACTGCCAAGTCTTCATTGGAGGGGGGGAATCAACCAGTCTGCTATGGAGAGAATAAGAGTCAGAGTAAATAGCCATGTGGCTACTCACTTGTTAAGGTCTGGGGGAAGTACATCAGGTACCCAGAGTTACATAGGATCAACACAGGCATGTTTTCTAAAGATAAGGTTCACCTTTCTGAGATGGGTAATAACTTGTTTTTGTATAGGTTGCAACAGGCTTTGCAAGTGTTTTTGATTAATAACTCAGTTCACGTGTCCCCAAGAGTTGGGAAAATTGGGCCATGGCTGCGCCATGAATAAGATTTTAGTCATGGTAACTATTTTATTTACTGTCAATAGACTATTGAGGGTCTATTTATTTGTATTGTCATGCACCAAGTCTATTTTTGCTCTTGCTCATAGACTGTTGAGAGTCTATGTATTTGTATTGACACAGTTTCTTATTTTTCTGGTCATTTTATTTTAACAAATATTGATTATTGTCATAAATTACAATATTTGAGGACATAAACATGAGTTATGCAATCACCAATTTTAAAAATTTCAATCCCCCCTTTTTTCCCCCTGCCGTCTGACCCTACTGGTGGCGCAGCCAATGCTCAAAGCATAGGCTCGTGGCGGATATTTGGCTCACCAGTAGTGCCTAACCTTGATTCTTAATAATATGACTTGGTGCACAATTGATTGAATTTTGCAATTATTGTCCAAGCAGGCGAGCATCTGTTCCCAGGGCTCTCCATTATGCTTGTTTTATTTGTGGGGACGCCACCAAGGCAAGAATTGATGCTGGGCTCCCTTATTTGTTTTAATGCAGCCGTGGCCTATATCGCCAAATAAATATAAATAATTAAATAGAAGTTTTTTGTTATCTTTGGTATAAAGGCCCAAGGTAAGGGCATCTTTTGATAATGAACGTATCATGATAAAATTTTTAACATTTGTTTATTTTTTGTTGTTTTATGTTCCTTATAAATTTTATAAGCTCAGACAACATAGTACTAACTTTATAGACTCAGTCCACGAACGTTTTGATAACCCCTCGTATTCATATACATGTAATTGATGAAAGATATCTTACTTTATTTCGAGAAACAATAAAACTTTAATTTGTTTTCACAATCAAATCGTGACTATCCATACACTATCAGTTCTTAGAGAAGTATTTCCATAACTTAATTAATACAGAACAGCCACCACCTTTTAGATGGCTTATTACGTCTCCATATGAGTGAAAAATTCTCGAGTGGGACGTTAAACAATATACAATCATTCAGAATCACATTATTCGAAATCTGAAGCCTAATAAGAGGGTTGATCGAAAATTGACGAACACAGGTAGATATTACTAAGAATTAAGTAATAACTATTAAGTATCAGGTGAACAACAAAGAGAAATATATAGATAATAAATAAGTTATAACAGATAAGTATCAAGATATTAAAGAGAAGAATTAAGTAAACTAAGTGCACTGGAGGTAAATCAGTAAAAGAAACATCAGTTTAACTAGGACTATTAAACGTGCATGTAACTTAAGCTACAATTTCCTATTAAATACCTTTTAACTATCAACAAAAGAATAATGACAATAGAGATATACAAAAATATAACATATAAGTATTGAAATTTCAGTCAGTGTTACCTGAGTGCTTCTTTATAATAAATTTGATACTGAAATTGATAACAAAAGCAAACCCGCGACCGAACATAATTCATAGCACTATTTGTCTATAAACAACGAAATTCACAACTTCTAAGACAGGGGTCTCGTGTCGCAGTAGGTGTTTGCAAGATTCCTCGCAGGGGTAATAGGGAAGCATTCAGAATATTCTAACTGGACTAAATCAGTGATATATTATGACGTCATTGTAGGCAAAGTTGACAACAAATGTGGAACACAAGTTTTGTAATATATGTATTGAGAGATGTAATTTAACTCCAGAAATTGAATAGAAACATGTAAACATGTAAACATTAACAAAAATATCAAAAAAAATATTTTGTTATGCCATTACTGTCATTTGAATTATATTTGAATCGCCGACGGTTGACAGCATAAATGAACGTACATGTACAAAGACACATGAAAGGGTGTTTATAGCTGCAAATATTGTGAATATTATGTTATATTTATTAAAGAGGAAACGTTATTTGTTTTCTTCGATTATATTTTCTTTCGAAGACAGTCAGATATTTATGTTTCCCGGTCGGCCTTTCCTCTTTCATTCGTGACAAAAATAATGCAAAATAATAACAACAGTGAAACGAATATTTCAAAACATAAAATTTGTAGAGATTGAAAGCTTGACTTCTAAAATACTTGGAAAGTGCTCTTAAAATCCTGAGGTAAGCATGGCTTCACGAAAAATCTCAGGTTATATGTATAAAATTCAAAATATCGGGTAAGGTTGTAGAATGTTTTTTCGAAAGGGACATCAAACAACAAACAAACAAACAAAAAAGTTTAATGACCAATACCGAAGTTCTTCCACGAACTGTTGTTGGAATTTCATCTTAAAAGAAGAGTAGGATCAGATGAACAAACGAGAGTTACACAATTTAAGGGGTCTGACTTTAGTAAGAGACCAGCAAAACAGGAAAAGATTCAGGGGATGGAGTGATTCAGGGTAAAATATAAAAGAAATAAATTTTAAAATGATCAGTAACAGAAAGAGAAATGTAATTTTTGGCAGAAGTAATGTTGTACAAGAGATCCATCGGGAAAACTTTAACGTTTTTAATATAGAATAGAGGATGGTCGTTAACATGGAGTATGTAGGTGCAACTTTGTAGTTCCTCAGAAATTCTACAAGTATTGACCTCGAAGACTTTCAAGTAGAAAATGAGTGTGTAATTATGCATAAAAAGCAATTTTGAGCATTTAGTATTCTTTATGGATACTTTTCCCAGTAAAGTTTACCACATAATGTTTTGCAATGCACCAGACATCTACATTTGTAAATATATGAGATTCAGTGGATCAGACGCAATCTGCGCACCCAACAAAAAGATCCCATGTCTTGCTAGTTTATCATTTTATTTATCATCAAAGATGAAGAATAATATCTTTGTAACTTAATCAGAGCATGTTAAAGCATTCTTTAAAATATTTTATGAATAAGGAAATTCAAAACAAATACTTACCCTTTACAGATTCCTATACCCGAATCCGTGGCTACACTTATTAATGGAAAGAAAAACGGAGAAAAGGTTAGGAACAAGAATGTTTTGACAATCTCAATGACCTATCAATCAACCAACTGGTCTGCTCTGTTGAATCAGGAAGCCATCTACAATATATTATATAGTTTAAAAATCAACCTTTGATGATTAGGTGCGGTTCATGTCATATGCATATACATTTTAAGCATCCATGTAAGTATCGCTAAAAAGCAATTGATATTCCAGCACATCCTTACGATAAAGTATATACACCAAATTTTTTTTACGATGTCCCAGTTATTGAAACCAAAGCGTTCTCTGTTGATAAAACTTGGATGTACATGACTGATTTAGGGAAGTAGACGCAAAAATATTAACATATCTGTAACTAGAAAATCTCCACTTAGAATATATACGGAAATATATTTCAAGCACTATGTATATTAAATTAGTTCTTATGATAAAACCCGTTAATTTTACAAACATTTTTTCACTAAAGCTATTAATGTGCATATACATATCATCTTTATTTATAGAAATTACAACATTTTTAGAAATTGACAAACAAAAACATGGTCGTTTAAATATACAATAAAATCAATAAATGTAAAAACAAAGAATATAACTTTAGAACAAAATGGCATTTTATGTCATTTTTTTTAAAATTCCTTATTTGGTTATCATGGGTCCAATACGGGAGCCCTGGAGGGACACCGGCTAATTTAATTGTAATAACGAAGACCATTGTGCATATATTATCCGATGTTTCCAACTATCGTTGATGTCCCTGGCATACCCAACAAACTAAACATTGATTCCTTATACATGTACTTCCATATCATTAATATGAAACAAGCATTCTGAGGGTACTGCTTTATCAGTACACTTCCCCTACCGGGTTCCCCTTTTCTCTTACGATGAAGCTCGTTTGGAGCATTAATTTAGTGCATAACAAACCCGATCGTAATCCCGATTATAAAAACTAAAAGTGCCCTTATTCAATCAAAAACCAATGAAGCGGAAGGAAATTAAAACGTTTTCTGTAACTCATCAAGATACACTCACATACCAAAAAATCAGCTCAATATCTGCAGATGTTTTGGAAAAAGTGTTGAAAATAAAGTAGGATAAACTGACAGACAAATATTGGGACAGCTGGACAGCTAGATGGACGGACGGACAGACTCAGAGGAAACCTCTAGTCTTCTCCAGTTTCACAGGTAGGGGACTATAAAAATTGTAAATGTAAATCTAAGAAATGTCAAATATATTTAATTACATGAAACCTTCATGTCAATTTCAATAATCCCCGCCCACTGACGTCAGATAAAAGGCAGACTCACGAGATATACTAGCTGCAGATCTGTAGCTCTCCGAATAATATATATTGGCAGACCGGAGAGCTACAGTGCCACCCATTGAAAAAACTGTATATTTATTGCGCACAAAAAAGTGCGCTGCTTCTCGATATATTTTTCCGTTTTTTAAAAACTGTCATCTCAAAATATTAATAATCGTGTGTTCCTCACATATTCTTTCACTATTTCTACAATAAATCGTACCTTATAATTGTTGTTAATAGGCGTCCTGGCCCTGAAATTGAAAATTTTGCCTATTTATAATGCCATTTTGGTTTGTAAGATACTTCGATCCAGTGCGCTTCTTACAGATGTAAACTACGAAAGTATTTGATACAGGAGTAAGGAATCTTTTAAAATCTAGCTTTTTTGCAATTGAGGTAAGAATTTAGAACAATTAATCCAGAACCGTGCGCACTTTTTTGTGCGCAATAAATATACGGTTTTCTCAATGGGTGGCACTGTAGCTCTCCGGTCTTGCAATGTACATTTTTCGGAGAGCTACAGATCTGCAGCTTGAGATTTACATGCATATGAAAATTTTCATAGTTTCTGGAATTTCTCTTCCCGATTTTTACATTCAGTTTGAATAATCAAGAAATCAACTCACCTAACTAAGAGTTACTATAAATGGAAATATTTTATAATTTATTTGTTGTGACTTTATTGTACTGACTTAAACAACGTGTTACGTAGCAATAGGCTACATAAACATTAGCTTACATTTAATATCAAAATGATATGTATATTCCTAATTTAACTGTGTTTTTGATTGTTTTAATTGTAGTTTAACGTCCAGGACATGTACAGTTGTGACTACTAAATTTTATGGGACTAAAACTGGCGTGTATTTCTGTTTCCGATTTAGTTTAAGTTTAAATAAAACAATGATTCTGATTGGTTCATGCAAACTTGCATGAGGCCAATCAGAGAACGCATTTCTAACCCCGTCAAACTTAGCCTATTCGGTCCAGGATTTATGTGGAGCGGAGCGGATCATAAACTCTTGATTTGGGAAGATGTTCGAAACCAGGTTTTGTAGCAATCTGTTGGAATTCTCATAGATACCAATTGCACCCCGCTATAAGCAGACCTATTTTGTATTCATATAAAGCAGAACTGGTTGAAAAACTTTACGTGGCTTTTCAACTCGACATTTAGATATGTCGAACACGTATTGTCAATTAACAGTTATTGTGATTTCCATTAATATGTTTACACGGTATATCCCGGTGAGCTTGAAATAAAAGATACTACAGAGTCTGACACATTTGTTTCATATTTGGATGTTTTAGTAGGAAAAGACGTTAATGATAAATGGTAAAAATAAATCATGAGGTGTAATATGATAATAATTAGATGTAATGATTTGGCTTGTTAGGATGTTTAGCATGTTTCCAATAATACCCATGGTTAAGATAGAAAGAAGTTTCCAAGATCGGTTATCACTATAATTTAATTGTACGACTTGACCAACTAGCCTTGGCTTAATCTAATACTGGGGTCATACAATAAGCTTAAGATTCTCCAACTTATTGAACCTCTGCAATATACATTTTTATCACAAACGGAAATATAATATCAAAATTTATTCATAGATCTTATAAACAAACTATATCTGGTATAATATTTTTAATGTTAAATGTTCTTTTTGCATTTTTATACTATAAAAAGCAAGTTAATTTTATAAACATATTGTTCACCAAAGATATAAATGTTTATATACGTTTCTTCATATTTATTCCACAATCTTCAGGAGGTGGCAAACACATGATTCGTAATTTAAATATAAAATAAAATCTATATATGTAGAATCCATAAATATAACCAAAACAAAATTGCATTTCATACCGTTTCTTTTTTTTAATTCCTTATTTGATTATCATAGTTCAAAAGCCATTGCTAATGTATCAGTAGAATAAAATAAGCAATAATTCTTACGTTTTTTATAAACAAAAATATTAGTCACATGTCTGAATCCAATTCCTTAACCCCTTTTGAGGCAATTTATTTCATTTTTATTTTTCCTTATACATTGTTTGAAAATAAATAACACTGAGAGAAAAAAACTGTTCCGCCTTATTTAAAATATACAGTTATGTATCTGGAATGTAAACAAATGACAAGTTTTTTGAATTTGCTGATTCATTACATTTCATTCATTATTTCAAAACATGTTAGGGATGGGGAATTTACCCCAATAAATAGGTATATGCCTACTTTTTTATGATTATAAATTTTTATTTGAGCGTAACCTCTCTTGGAATATTGGGATTTGGAAATAATTTTAGAAAGAGTAAGAACTCATATTGAAGTTTTTGGAGGGAAAGAATATTGGATTGAAATTGACAAACGTAGTAACAAATTAATGTCGAGACAATATATCCAATACAGCTTAAATAAAAGATACAACAGAATCTGACACATCTGTTTTTTGTTTGGATATTGTATTTGAAAAACACTTTCATGGTAATGTAACAACCAAGCTCTGTAATTAACTTGATGACTTTAATTTTTCAATCGTCATCTTCCCTCACTTAATATGCAGCAATATACCTTCAACACCATCATACAGGGTTTATTACTCTCTGTTATGCAATAGCATGCTCTATGCATAAAAAAAAATTAAAATGGATTGAGAGCTTGAAACCTGTTCGTTATCACAATATTTCAATCAAGAAACAATAGCCATGAAAAATGTGTTGTCTCGAAAGCACAGAGAAAGCACAGAGAGTGCTCGCATGAACTCTCTATATGATCAGAAAAGAACAGTTTTAAACGTTGGGGCATTTACATAATTCAGCAAAAAATCAAGGTATGGAAATATAATTGTATATTTTAAAGACAAAACGATATCAATCTATCATCAACAATATAAGACCATTTTTACAGTAAAAAATGGGAATAAAGAACACTATTCAAACTAAAAAGTTCATCCAAACAGTTCGAAGAAGAAGAAGCAGTGCAAACAAGGACATTAAAACATTTCGCAGGTAGGTTAAGGTTAAAACCAAATATTCTACTTGCCTATATGATATGACGTCATAATAAGCAATATGACGTGAGGTTTAGAGATGAAAATTTCTTAAATTCGATATCTAAGATTGATTTGAGGTTAATCAAAATATGCAGAGGCATTATAAGGAATTTTGTCGTTTCTGGGCCTCTGTAGTTATCGCAGGGTTTACATACCAAACCCGTGACGTCATAACTGTTGATCATGCAGTAGCAGGGTGAAAGTGAAATGTAACGAGAATTGATGTAAACAAACACAAAAAATCGGAGTTTAAAAGTATTTAGAATGAATATCATGTGTGATTCTTGTCGGAATAAAGCGTATAAATAAGGTATGGTAATATAATTCTGCAATTTCTTCGTAAAATTAAAGCAGGGAGGGTGTTTACTTGCCTATCAGTCTTTCCCCTGTCGTTCGTAACAAAAAAGATGCAAAAGTTCAACACTACGCCGCATATCTTGAAACTTAATTTTTGTTTCTATCTAAAGTTCTTATTCTTTTGTTTTTGGAAAGTGCTGCTAGAATCGTATGGTTTACGGGAATCGATGCATTTTTTTCGATGTTATGAACAATATGTACAAATTTTGGAAAGGTTTCGTCCGAAATTGTTGAATAATTATTTCTATAATAGGACAGTAGGATTCTAGCAGCACTTTTCATGGTACAGAGATGTTTTTACATTACTATCATTAAAAATTGAAACTAATTA